ACACTTTCGTCCCCGCGGGCCAGGGCAACGGGAGCGAGAGAGATGCCACCAAAGTAGAGGGATCGATATATAAACGCCAAGTCGGCCCGAGGAGCGTCAGTGTGTGAAGTGCTCAAAACGTGATAGGAGTAACCACCGGGGCATCTTGAAAATCATGGCGAACGCCCAGGTAAGGCACCATCAAGACCTGCAACACCATCCTGGATTAGAGTGGTCGCAAAGACACCAGTGTAGTGACAGTGTAGAAGTTGAATAGGAAGGGCGTTATTCTTAAGCCAGTGTAGTGACAGTGTAGAAGTTGAATAGGAAGGGCGTTATTCTTAAGCAGGATGTGTTAACGTCCAAAAATAAGTTCTAAATCTAGTGATAGCGTTTTGTACCGCGTTATAAAACTTTATAACATTTACCCCGATTGGTAAGAATACTTTTTCTTGACAAAATTTAATTTGTAAATCTCAAATCCACCCAATAAGGCGTGGCTCGGAACCGGTTCGACCTGTAGGCGTGTCTTTGTGTTGCCATTCGCACTCGAATGACATCCGATGACATATCTCGCTCTCTCTCTCCCTCCTCCTTTGCCTCTCTCCTCTGCCTTCCCTAGGATGAGTCAATTCACTTTCCGTTTCCAGTTCAGTTTGACGTCGCGACGATCCTCACTCTACGTCATCGCAGCAGGGAGAGAGACTCGGCCGGACTAGGTTGGGAACGCGTGTGGCTCGAGCGTAACGGCCGAACTAATGGCATCCTCATTTCGCGACGATGCCCCTAAAAAGATGCGCCCAGCGCAGTCTTCCGATTAGAGTTGTGCTCGTCTCAAGCCGCTGACGTTTGAAACAAAAAAAATAAAATAATCACATCCTTATAGCGCCCCACTTGATTATGTCACGTTGCCGCGCCCAACCTGATCTGTGACAGCGTCCCCGCGTCTGAACTGTGTCCTGTTTCCTGTCGACGTTTCGTCGGACCCCGGACAAATGATTAGCGTTAACTCCCGGTCTTTATAATGTTGCGCAGGACTGTTTTTTTTTTCTTTTAACGATTTCCTCGATTTTGCAGATGCTGGTTAGCCTGGTCGCCCTGGCGGTCGCCAAGGCGTACCCCACGGAGTACGGCCACCACAGTCCTGCCACGTCGTACGCGTCCGTCAGCGTGCCAGTACACATCACGCACACGCCGTCTTACTCGCACGCTCCGTCCTACTCGCACGCCCCGTCCTACTCGCATGCGCCGTCCTATTCGCCTGCTCCTTCCTACTCGCATGCGCCGTCCTACTCGCATGCCCCGTCGTACGCCCCAGCTCCGTCCTACTCCCCTGCGCCATCCTACTCCCATGCCCCAGCGTACGCGCCCTCCTACCACAAGCCGGAGCCCTCGGTAAGTCATGCCCCGGTCTGGAGAGCGAGTTGTTAGCAGTACCGCCTCCTGGCTCAGGCTCACCCGCCCTAATCGACAATCTTCCCATGTGTTCCAGGCGCACCCCAAGTACCAGTACAAGTACGGCGTGCACGACGGTCACACCGGTGACGTCAAGAGCGCCTCCGAGCACCGCGACGGCGGCTCGGTGAAGGGCGAGTACTCTCTGCTGCAACCCGACGGCACCACCCGGACGGTGCACTACACGGCCGACGACTACAGCGGCTTCAACGCCGTCGTCTCCGTCAGCGGCCACGCCTACCACCCGGAGACCCCCAAGTACTCGGCGCCCGCCTACCACGCCCCGGCACCATCCTACCACCAGCCGTCGTACCACCAGCCGTCCTACTCCCCGGCGCCGTCGTACCCCAGCCACGGTGCGTCGTCCTACTCATCCTCGGGCCACTACTGATCGCGGCCGAGTCCAGCACACCACTGCCACCGCTCATCCATCCACACTCCCACACCTCGCCCGACAATAAAAAAAACTGACCCTCTAATCCGGCCCGTGCAATTTCTCATCGCTCCTCGCCCCGCTCACTTTCTCATACCTACGACCGCCATTACCCGGATTCGCATGCATAATGGGCCCGGCTCTGCGAGGTCGCCACTCTCCACGCAACGATCTCCACGCCCCCATGAAAAATGCATCGAGAAATGCATGATAAATGGGCGACAGGGGGGAAAAGAAAGGAAAGGGATTAGGAGCTCGTGACATTTGTACCCTAGGGGGAAAAATATAACGTGGTCTTATAATGAACTCCTGTGATGGCCCTGATCCTTTTGCGGGACCCCGTAATATCTTTACCCCCACCCCTCCCTCTCTCTGTTACAGCCGCGTACTATGTGCATTATCACTAGCCAGAGGGCTATAACTGCCATGCAGCCCAACCAATAATACAACAGATTTCTAAAGTGGTGTGTTTTTTCCCATTGACAGACGCAACAGATTATAACGACTGAGAGCTGGGCGGCTAGTGACTGTGTGTGAGTGCACGTGTAGCTTACTCGCGTGCAACTTGCGAGAGGCAGATAAAAGCCGTAAAGGATTAGGCAAGATTCATAAATCCCGGCGCGCAGCAGTCTATGGAAGGAGCCCTTGAAAAACGTTCGATGGGCTTTACGAGGGGAGTCGCGACCGCGGCCGAGCGCTCTGGTCTACGCAGAGCTTTGTCGTTATACAGCAAAGGACGCACTTTTGTATCCTGAGCCGCTGCCGTTGCGCCACGTCGTCTCGTTCCAAGTAGACGTAGAATTAGTGGCGCGGTGTTCGCTGAAAGCACCATAAAGAGTGTTCCGTTCAGGTGTGACTCCGGGGCGGACTCCGCGACTGAAGAAGCCGTGCACGCGTGGCCAGCACCAGGAGGGGCTCGGGCCGGGGCCACGGTCGCGGCCCCCCGGGGGCACGAGGGCTCCCGCCCCCCTTCCCCGCGCCCCGCATGCATGGGAAGATCTATCTGCACCGCGCCGAGCCTTTTCTCATTATGGAAAGTTCAAGGCGGTTTGAAGAGCAAATCACGTCTTTGCGGAGAAGAAGAAGAAATGCTGGCTGAACTGGGTTGCTGTGGTGGAGCTAATGCGTTCGCGTCCTCTGGCCGGGCGGAAGGTCGTGGTCGGCTCATGGACGACGGCGGCGCCTTCTTACGGTCACTCGGCGAGCTCATTGCAGGCCGTAACGTGGTGCGCGCGGCGCGAGCGCGGGGGTAAAGGAATGCAATAACAACGATAGAAATGGCTTTTGGTTCGTATGGCAGGTCAGTGTTTATTACAGATGAGGTGACGTATGCGAGTCCAGGTACATTGAGGTCAAGAGGTTGGTCTTGGTTGATTGAGTTAATAATTCTAGCTTATTAGTAATGACTAAGACCATGACCGAGACCATGACCGACTCCGTAGGAGACGACGGCGGGGGCGGCGTGGACGACGGGGGCGGCGTGCACCACGGGGGCGGCGTGCACGATCTGGGGGTGCACGGCGTGGCCGGAGTTGGTGACGACGGCGTTGAAACCGTTGTGGTCGTCGGCGGTGTAGTGCACGGTGCGGGTGGTGCCGTCGGGCTGCACGAGGGAGTACTCGCCCTTGACGACGTCGCCGTCGCGGTGCTCGGACTGGCTCTTCACGTCACCGGTGTGGGCATCGTGGACGCCGTACTTGAAGGCGTAGGCCGGATGTGCCTGGAGGGGACGGAAACGATTAGCGCCGCTGCAACGACGACCTCGGGCGCGCCGTACTCCACTCCTCGCTCTAGACCTCGTTGCACTACTCACCACAGGCTCGGCGACGACGTGGTGGACGGGGGCGTGGGCAATGGGGGCGGCGTAGGCGACGGGGGCTGCGGCGTAGGACAGGCCACCGAGGCCGGCGTGGCCGTAGTCGACAATGCCGGGGACGGGGATGGCGGACGCCACCGCGGCCGCGGCCAGGACCATAACAACCTGCGAGAGAGACAGACGGCATGACATTCTCTGCTGGGGGCGGTGGCCTGTCGCGACCGGAGTGGCTATGGCGACGTGCAGCGCGGGGGCCGCAGGCTGGGCGGGCGCGACGTGCCCGAGTGCCCCGACCACCCCGTGCACCGCGTCGATCACGTGCGGCGGGGACGGTGGTGGTGGGCGGGACACCAAGGTCCCGCGGAGCCCGCCACCCTCCCCGGCGGGGGAAGGCCGAAGGTAGGGGGAGGGAGGTGCACACACGGTTCGAATTATTGCGTTGATCCTATACACTATGGAAAGAAACGACGTCCCTGAGAGTGCAGTTGTGTCACGTTATGTCACGAAACGTGAGAGCGCGCGGAGAACGGCCCCTTGGAGGTCCCATTCGAACCGACGCAGCTGCATGTGCAGGCTGGATAAAGAGCTACAGAAACGATCGAAGGGCACTTCTCGATCAGAAGAGCGCCGTTCGACCAACTAAAGAAACCTTGCGGCTCGGAGTAAACCTCAAGGGCCGAGGAGAACCCGTTCGAAACACTATGGGGCGGTCGAGGATGGGGGTTGTTCTCGTTATCCGAATGGTCTGCTGGTCAGCTGAAACCGCCAGGGCGATCACACTACAGGAGCTCAGGTAGCCTCGGCCACACACACGGCTGTAGTCTAAGCACTGGCACGTCGGCGTCGTTGACGTCGTGGAGGTGTAGCACGCGGTCGAGAGCACTTTGCGGCGGCCACCACACTGCTGCTGTCCGGTAGCAGCCACTGTCGACGTCGACGTCTTCGTCTTCCTCCTCCTCCTCACCTTGAATGCCATGTCGATTCTTTTAGCTAGGGGAGCACCTCACACAACACCTCAGATCTGCTGTTGCCACAAGACTGAATGTCCAGCCCGGACCCAAAGCTTTTATATACGGGCAGAAGCGGCAGCAGCGGCACCTGCCACAGCCCGGGCCGCCTGCCCCCACCGGGCCGCAGCCACAACAACAGCAGCTGCAGCTGCAGCCGCAGCCGCAGCGGCAGCGCCAACAAAGGTGGCGGCGGTAGCGGGGGGCACAGACAGTACGGCTGCCTGCCGAATAGCCCGCAGCAGCAGCCACTCCTGGCGGCTCGCGGAGGGTGTGGAGGGGCACACAGGCCGCTCGGCCGTGCCCCAGCTGGCCGTGCTACGCCCCTGCCCTGATCACCCCGGCCCCTGCGACCGCCACCTGGCCCCGCCCCGCCACGCCCCGCCACGCCACGCCACGCACACGCCAGCCTTGCCAAGTGAACTAACCAACCCTTGCCTTTGCTTCGCAGAACCAACTCTGCGAAAATTCGTACCCCCGTCGAGTGATACAGGATACCCTCCCACCAGGGTGGCTGCAGCCGCGAGCTCGATCCTCTGTCTCTCTCCGCCTCCGCCCCTCTCCCCCTCCTCCCCTCTCCGCCCTCCCTCGACGCTTTTGCATCGGCATTCAGAAAAGCCGGCGCCGGCCGGACCGCCCGTGTCCGCCCCGCCTTCCAGCGCGCGGAACAAGGGGGTCTGGCGGAGGATTGCGGCTGCACGTACAGAATCGTCATAAAATCCCAGCCGTAAATGGGCATGCCAATATAATCCAGCCAGCATTTTTTCCCTTCCCCCGGGGGCGATTCGATCTGCAGACACGCTACTGAACGGCGAGCAGAACGACCGGGCGACGACGCCGTTCTCCGCGCGTCCTTCTCTGAACGACTCGGCTGTCCAGCGGGGCGGTGCTGCTGCGCGCGGCGCCCTCAGTGCCACTGTCAAGGACGGGAGGGCCTCGGCCCTGACGGGCGCCCTCCGCGGCCGTGACCTTGACGCCGCGTCCACGGCCCCCTCGAGGTCCTTCCGACCCTCGCGGACCCTCCTCTAGGCGGCCGCCCGGCGCGGCCCGGCACCGCCGCGGCGGGGACCTTGAGGGGTCGCGGCCTTGGGTCGGGCAGAGCGAGCGAGGGACGCGGCCGCGACGC